TTTCAATGCCGTCGTCCAATCTTTGGCCGACCGATCCTGTCGTCCCTGGCAACGGCAGCAGCCCGACAACCGGCCCCCATGCACGCCGATACGCCCCACTTTCATCCCACACGGCCACACGCCCCGTCGATTCCAACAGTGCCATGGTACCCCCGCGTGCACACGGATTTGGACATTTGCGCTGTCAATGTATGCATCGTTGCTCGAGTCGACCGGTCGACGTGGCACGACTCGACGTGGCACGTGGGGTGTTTGGTGTCGCTGTCGACGTGCTGCTACATCGACGCTGCCTACCTCGTTGGCACACGCGAGCGCTGGCGCAGGGCAAGTGCCCTGGTGGCGCATTCCTTCATCGCTCGTGGCCGAAAGCATGGCGAATGCGGTGCTGGCGACAGGTTGACGGCAAGTCAAGATCGCATCTCGTGGGATACATGTTCGACATCGACGTGTCCAAAGCGAACGGCGAGGACGACGCGCCGTCAGCTTGAATCGCCAGGTGGCACGCGATCTGTGGTATATTTGAACATGCGTGGCACGACGGACGTCGTCGATAGTGGACCCCAAACGCCGTCGACGGCTGGCCAACGCCACCGCCTTGGGACATCCAACTCTCTAGACGATACCACTACAAAATGACGAGCGTGAGCCTGTCGCGCCGTACGCCACATGATGGGCACGTCGTATTTTTCAACTTCTCATGCACGGAGTACTTCGGCGAACGGTGTTTCAATGCCGTCGTCCAATCTTTGGCCGACCGATCCTGTCGTCCCTGGCAACGGCAGCAGCCCGACAACCGGCCCCCATGCACGCCGATACGCCCCACTTTCATCCCACACGGCCACACGCCCCGTCGATTCCAACAGTACCATGGTACCCCCGCGTGCACACGGATTTGGACATTTGCGCTGTCAATGTATGCATCGTTGCTCGAGGACCGTCGACCTCTGACATGGTCTGGCATAGGCCATGGAAGTGGAGCTGGATGCTGACGATCCTGGCTTGAACGTAAGCCCATGACTCGGCGAATTGTACTCACGTGTGGGCAGGACCCGGCATACGTCGCCCGTCGAGCGATTCTGCGCACCAACGTCCTCAATTATCGCCAAGGCATGCCTCTTCCATACGTCGAGTACAACGAGTTGGAAACACAAACGTGGGGCACCATCTACCGCACGATTCGACCCAAGTGGCTCCAGTACGCGTGCGAAGAGTACCATGCCGTGCTCAAGCTCTTGGAGCGTGAAATCGGGTACAGCGACGCCGCGATCCCGCAATTTCGAGACATTTCCGCCTTCCTCGAAGCCACGACCGGGTTTTCGTTGCATCCCGTCACGGGGTACCTCAGCCCGCGCGACTTTCTCAACGGGCTCGCGTTTCGAGTGTTCTTTTGTACGCAGTACATCCGCCACCACTCGGTGCCGTTTTACACGCAGGAGCCTGACATTTGCCACGAAATCATGGGTCATGTTCCCATGTTTGCGGCAAGTGCCCCCTCCACGTAACTTGGCTCAACGACGTGTGCCGCGCAGGACGCCGACTTTGCCGACTTTTCGCACGAAATTGGGCTGGCGTCGCTGGGGGCGACCGACGACGAGATTGTGCGGCTCGCCGCGGTCTACTTTATCTCGGTCGAGTTTGGCATGTACCGGCGCAACGGCGAACTCAAGGTACCACGACCTCCACCGCCTTCCTTGATGCGTGCATGTAGGCATTTGGCGCAGGGCTGCTCTCGAGCATTTCCGAGCTCGAGTTTGCATGCAACCCCACGCGACCTGCCGGCGGCCGCGACGACTTTGCCGACTACCGCACGTGGTGTCCATTCGAAGCGTCGACGCAGTCGTACCCCGTGACCGAGTACCAGCCATACTATTACGTGTCGGAGAGTGTGGTACGTGTGGGTTTGGTCAGCACGAATGGCGCCGTGAACTTGCTCCACAGGCGCAAGTCAAGGCTGGCGTCCGGGCGTACATTCAAAGTGTCGACCGCCCCTTTATTGCGACATACAACCCGACGACGAAAACCATCCTGGAAGATCGTCCGGTGCATGTCTTGCTGCGGGCCTAAACGTTTGGGTTCCAACGACGTGCAGTCCGGCGGCATGTCGCCATGGTTGCGGCGTTGTAGAAACACGAATGCGTCCCAATCGAGCGAAAATCGACTGGCGTTTGAGCGAATCCTCGAGTTGACGTGTCGAACACTCGTCGCACGAGACTCAACAAATGACGCACATTTCACAGGGAGAACGTGTGCAGAGTGTTGGGGTTATGGGGTCCTCACATGACGACGCACAGGGCGGTCGCCACCACGCTCGGGATGGTACGACGGATGGTTGATCTCGAGGACCCCTACGAGAATGGGGACGTTCATCGTCTACAGGAAGGTGTAGGAGGCACGCCAGGAATGCACATCGAGTCAAACAGGTCGCCGATGGCCAAAGAAGGCCTCGCACACCCGGCCACCACGCGCGAGCAAGCCAACCTCGACCACTTCTTCCCGTCGACACCCCGAGTGGTCGAGTTGATGTGAAAAGTCCGATCGCCATTGTTGAAAATCGTTGAAAAACTTTATGAAAATCGTTGAAAAATACGGATATACATATTGTATGGCATACTGCTTTTTCCAATACAATACGTACAGGTTTTCTACAATATTCCATCGATTTGCTGCAATTTTCCGGATTTTGCGGTAAATAGTCGTTTGTCCAACTGCGATCTCGTACAGCGAGTTGGTCTGGCTTGCCGGGTCCTATAGGAACTGCTGCAACGATCGTTGTGGTGACCTTGTCCTACGAGGTGGGCCATCAAGTCATGCATTCGCTGAGGTGTTCCGACCAAAGTTCAATCTGCGCACTTCACTCCGCCAGCGCCAGGACCGTAGCGATATGTTTCTACTGCTTTTTATGCTCCATTCCGTACAACCTGAGACATATACTACCTCTGTTCCAATATACAACAGACATATAAAATTCGAGCGACCGCAAAAATTAACTACTTGTCCAAGCTTGATGCGCAATATCATGTTCGAAAGAGAATGAAAAATATGAGGGGGTGTCTATTGACTGCAACGAAGGGCAATGTAGATTTACCCCCCGAAAATCACTTCGCCATCCCCTCTCGGAATTTTAAATCGAAATCTTTAATTTATTGTTCAAAACTTCGGGACCAGCACACTTCATGGCGCGCACCAAGCGGGAGCTCACATATGACGACAAGGTCGCAGTCATTGGACAGCTACAACAGCACATCACTGCTGGAAAGTTGGCCCATGCGTCAATCTCAGCGACTGCCAGCCTCATGCAATTGCACCGCACCACTGTAGCTAAACTGTGGAAGACTTTTAAACAAGGTACAATTCACAAGTCGTCAAAGTCGGGACGCGTCGGCCGTAAGCCAATCTACACGCAAGATATAATAACGGAACTTGTCCGTAACGTACCCGATACGGACCGATCCAGAATGCGTGACATCTCTGCCGCTTCTGGCATCTCTCTGTGGACACTCCACCGCAGTCTTCAAAAGGGAACCCTGCAACGCCAGTCCACCCGCATCAAGCCGCTCCTTACCCCTCATAACAAGCAGGAACGAATCAATTTCTGTCGCGCGCTTGTCCATCGCTCCGCTCCTGGACTCGCGCATTCCGCCATCGAAGCTGTTTTTTTCAGGCGGACAGCAATTTTGAAGTTGAGGACTTGTGGGGCGTGGTTCATCAAGACGAGAAGTGGTTTAATGTCGATAAATACAGAAGAAAGGCTTACCATGTTCCTGGTGAGAAGCCCCACCAACGAAGCTGGAAGAGCAAGCGCTTTATAACCAAGGTCATGTTCTTGGCCGCAGTGGCGAGACCTAGATATGATCCTGAGCGTGGTGTTATGTTCGACGGCAAGATTGGTATGTGGCCGGCGGTCAAGTACCTTCCAGCGGCTCGTTCGTCTCGCAACCGACCTGCTGGCACGATAGTGACGACTTTGGCCAACGTTGACGCTACCTTGTACCGCGACTACGTCGTCACGCGTGTTATTTCCGCTATCATGGAGAAGTTTCCGAATACTCACAAGCATATCATTCTCAAGCAGGACAACGCGACGCCCCATGCTGCCATCACAGACAAAGTCATGGCGCATGTATCGACGACGGATGGCACATCGTTCTTTGCCGCCAGCCACCTAACAGCTCAGATTTAAATGTGATAGATCTGGGCTTGTTTTCGTCGATTGAAGCTCTACAATACAAGACGGTGTGTGGCACAATCGATGATGTGATTCAAGCGACCTTAGTTGCATTCGACCAACTAGAAGTCGAGAAGCTGCAGAATGTGTTCCTGACGTACCCGGCTGTGATGAAACTTGTGCTGGAACTTCATGGAGACAACCAATTTTTGCTTACCTCGGATGGGAAAAGATGCTTTGCGACGACCTGGCGCCCTCATGGCGAATGTGTCCTGCCCTGCGGTGCTTGTGACCTAAATTTACAACCGTTTAGATTTTAACCAATAACATGCATACATTGTATCTTTAGAATAAAATGTCATGACTAATTTGGAACAAGAGCGATTCTTATATGTCGACAGTATATTGGAACAGAGGTAGTAACTCTCAAATCTGTTTTTGTGGCAAAAGCCTCCAAAATCAAAAGTAATTTGGACAAAAGATAACCAATGAGGATACGTACGGGGCAATTTCATGATTTATTCAATTGCATCTTGGCAAGACTGCAGAGATCCTTCAGAAGTTTGACACACCCTCAAGATAGAAGTTCTCCAAGGTTTGGACTTGGGGACAGCAATCCAGGGCCCTGGCTGGCCGAGCTAACGTATCCTTGACCCTTCAGAGGGTCATGGGTAGGTCATTGAAGATGGTGGACTACAACGCATTCAAGTTGCCGCACTCGCAGAAGCACAAGATTACAACACTTGGTGTTGTGTGTGATCTACATGTAGTCAAAGTTATCGAAGCGATGAATGCCAGAAAGGAATTCGAACGTAGGGCAGATAACCATTCTACAGTAGTGTGTTGTCCTCTTGTGATATTGAGGGGGTGATCTATACGTCCAATATTGTTCACTTTTTCATCTCTAGGAAAATTGAACCGTTGGATTGCCAACGAGCTCGAGGGAGCGAGAAAGGTATTCACAACCTATGGAAAAGCAGATTAACCCAAAGGCAAAAAAGCTCACAGGACGGCGCTTTGTGTTCAAAAATTGAGACATCCGTCGCATCTTTCGTCTTGAAATCCATAAACAAACCGCCCGAAAGATCGCGGCCACCATGACACCAAAGACAAGTCACACGACAATTTTGCGTATCTTGCGCAGCTCAAAATTCGTGAACTACCGAAAGCGAAAGTCTGGACCGACACTGACTACGGAACACAAACGAGCACGATTCAAGCTCGCAGCTAAGTACTTCAATAAATCTGTGGATTGGTTGTTTACCGTCTTCTCCGATGGCAAAAAGTTTATCCTAGATGGCCCAGACGGATTTAAATACTACTGGCATGGTTCCCGCTTGTCGGAAGAATGTTACTCGAGTCGTGTCGGCGGTGGCCGAAGTGTAATGGTTTGGGGCGCCTTTTCCTACGAAGGCAAGAATGAATTCGCGTCCCTACAAGGTAGTCAAGGCTCAGTCAGACAAGTACTGCGAGACGGTTGACTTGTACCTCGTTCCATTTCTTTTGAATTTGGAGGCCATCCTTGATGGAAGATACATAGTCTTTCAACAAGACAACGCCTCAATTCACGTTTCGAAGATGACCCTTGCCCATCTGAGCGAACGTGGCGTTTCAGCTGTGAAGTGGCCAGCCAGTAGTCCCGATCTCAACCCAATTGAAAATGTCTGGGGTCTCTTGGCGCGGGCCGTGTACGCAAATGGTCGTCAGTTCGACAGTGTTGCGGACCTGAAGCAGATAATTGCGTTTGAGTGGGAAAATATTTCCTTGGAGTACTGTCGAGCATGGATCGACAGTATGCCAACTCGAATGGCACAAGTAATTTTGAAACGTGGCGCCACAATTGACTATTAGGCCAAATCTAGTTTGTGCGGCTAAAGATATGTTCCAATGAAATCACTTAGGTGTTGAATTCTAGTGTAACCGTTTTGATTCATGGGAAGTCATTCCAACGTCTCGTCATCGACATGATTTATTGACATTGGATTGAATTTGACCGCCTCAGTCGATGTCGTGTGCCTCTTCACGATGAAAAGGTAGGTGCGGCTTTAGTTTTGTTCCATACTGTACCAGTGGTGAATTTGTACATATTTTATACAGTACCAAGTTGTTTCACTGCTCGTTATTGAAGACAATACTTGTATTCGGTGAAACAAATGCAAGATGACTCTATTGGCAATATTGTACGGGTGGCAAGAGACGAATATCAAATCGAAGAAACGTGCGTGCAATATACAGTCTGACCGCCAGATGTGAAAAACAATGAAAAAATCAATTTGTTGAAAAATCCTGCACAAAATGTGTATTATATACTAGTAGTACCACCTCATGGATACCCCATTCAAATTCCTTGAAAAAATCGAGAAACAGTGCGCCAAGTCCCAGTCGCTTTCACGTCCTCAAGTCGCTCCTCGCGAACATGCAACCAACACTGTGTTCCTGCACACATGGCTAATTACAAGAGAATTGTGGATTCGTTGAGGGGGTTCGGAAATGGACTGATTGGACATGTCGACATTGATTTTCGTAGTGCACGTCACCAGCTGAGATGTTTAAACAAGGATGGTTAAACTTGTTTAACGTGGTTTTGGGTCCGAAACATGGGTAGAGACAGGTCACCCAACAGCACCGCAATGGTGGCACATGCTATTTTAAATCAGTTCCAAACCACATTGGAGGATTTTAAAATGTTTCAAATTCTTAAAACGTACTGGAGACTTGAGGCGAAATCTGCGTTTTTTTCACAACATCGCCGCGAGTAATCGAGAGCGTGGACGCCGCGCGGACGACAACGCGTCCGACTGTCCCGCGATCATGGTCAGTACAACAGACTTTGCATGCGTGTCCATCGACGGCAAGACGGCGTTGGTCTACGCGTCGGTGACGAAGGAAGGCAAGGACGACGTGCAATGCATGGTCGAGTCCAAAAACTCGACCGACTGCTTCTTCCCGCAAGACATGGCTGCCTGCGACGCATACAGGAAACAGCAACCGACACTGGCGATCCGCTGCATAACGAGCACTCCCTTTTGCGCCAAGGTCCCGGCTGCTCTCAAGAACACTCCTGTCCCCACCCCAACCCCGAGCGATGCCACGTGTAGTCGCAACGGGACCAAGTGGGCATGCCTCACCGACCCTGACTCGAAAGTCGTCGTGCTTGTCGGTGTCGTGAACGGAACGTTCAACTGCATCTCGGACCCGGCTCGAGTCATCTGCAACATCTACACGTCGTACGAAACGTGCTCGACACTATGCCCGTCCATCGTCGCGGGGGATTCCGTTGGCACCAAGGCATGCGAAAGCAGCTCCACCGGCATCGTGTCATGCATCCCCGCCGCCCCATCCACAACGTCCGCACGATCGTCTGGATCATCGGCGTCGAACGCACCATCAACAACCACGTCATCGGAAGGTACGAGATTTTGCTTGTGTATCTGCAGTGCATTTGCGTCCACCTCGCGTGGGACCGTGCGTGTTGCGCATCTTGGGTTCCATGGGCATAAAGTCGTGGCTTTGACGATGCATGCATGTCGTGTGGACTTGGGGCCGTTTTATGGCGGCCGCGACCTGCCTGCCGTCGTCACGTGGGCCATGACCAACTCGTGCCAGTCATTCTTTTGCGACGTGCGTGGTGAATGGTATTTCGTTCGTCTCGGGATCCTTGGTAGAGATGGTTGGCGACTAGTTTCGGCTCACATGAATGGATTGCTAGAGTCTGTGTCGCCCGTGACGGTGACGCTCCTCGTTGTCGTCGTGGGTCTCTTAATCTGTAGCATGTTTTTGCTCTGCCGGAAGCGGCGGCCGTCGACGCGATTTTCAACCGAATCAAACACGAGCGTAGTGTGGCTCGATTTGAAATCCACAGACGGCTCCAACACTGGCACGTCGGTCGGGACCGACTTTGTCGGGACCAAGCTCGACATGGGCGACTTGAATCTGTGGCGCCTCGACGAAACCAAGCTTGTCCATATGGAGGTGCTTGCGACGGGCGCGCACGGGGTCGTGAGTCTGGCCAAGTACAAGAATCAACGGGTCGCCGTCAAGAAACAGCTCGTCGCGGAACGGACGGCCGAGAACGTTCAGTTGTTTATCGACGAAGTCAAGCTCATGGCGAGGTTGGACTCGCCGTTTATTGTGCAGTTCATCGGGGTCAGCTGGCTCCGACCGCGCGAGATCGAACTCGTCGTCGAGTACATGGACTTTGGCGACTTGCGCCAACACCTCGAAACCACAACGATCGAGTCGTTCGACTGGAACGACAAGCTCCAAATTGCGACCGACGTTGTCGACGGATTGCTGTACCTGCACTCGATGGGCATTATTCACCGTGACCTCAAAGCCAGAAACGTGCTCCTCAACCACAAATTGCGAGCGAAATTGACCGATTTCGGCATTGCCCGCGAATGCACCGACGAAACCATGACGCAGGGCGTCGGTACGTGCCGGTGGACCGCGCCAGAAGTGCTTGGTACGTGCGCACGTTGTTGTGCAACTTCTTTTTTTGGCGTGGTGGGTGCGTCGTCAGTGGGTGGGCATCGCGTGTTTGCATGACGTTATGGAGCTGGAATGGCATGGACATCAAGTCGACGTGTGCTTGCGACGTTCGTCGACACGATGGACCCGCCAAGAAATGCATCGCGCCGTGTGTGTGTTTTATGTGGAATGATGGATGCATGATTCCCGGTGCTCCACTCGATTGATATGCTGGCCACGACATGGCGACGCGCTGTGGGCCGTGTTTTTTTTCGTGATTTTTGTGGTGCGTCACCATGGCATCATCCATGGACGCTCGTTTCCGACAGCATCGTTGGGATGGGCCACTCGACGGGCGAATATCTCACATTGTGCTCGTGTGTGGCATAGAGAGCGGGCACTACACCGTGGCGGCCGACGTGTACTCGTTTGGGATGGTGCTGGTCGAACTCGACTCGCACAAAGTGCCGTACATGCACATGGGGGAAGTGTCGAATTTTGTCTTGATGGAGCGGCTGCGGGACGGGAATGCATCCCCCGACATCCTCCCGACATGCCCGCCTCCTGTTGCCGACCTCATTCGGCGATGCGCGGCGTGCCATCCGTCGGAGCGGCCGTCGGCCATCGAAATCTCGACAATCCTTCGGTCCGTGCGCCGCCAACGAGAAGGACGCCTGTAGTCGTGTTATTGTAGTCATTGTATTGCACCCAAACGTCCATCGCGGTCCAGCATGCCCAGATTCGTTCGAGAAACACGCGTGCCACCACTGTGATGGGGAACGGACCTGTTGGCTCCGTTCCGCCATGCATGTGGGCACGGCTGACGCCGTGCTGCGCGGGCAGAGTATACTTTCCACTCTAGCGTAGTACGCTGGCTCGGCACCATCGTCCTCGTCCAGCCTCTTTGCATGAGACAAGTCCAGCAGTGGATGTGTTGGATTTACAGTGCGCTTGTTGTTCTTGGCCAGTGAATCGCGTGTTCCGGCCGATCGCTGATTCATGTCGCTGTACGTGATGCACCCACGGAGGAGGATGGGGTCGGGCAGGTACTACTACGGCTGCCAGGCCGTGGCGTCGTCAGCCGCAACCACCACACACCATGTGGCGCTCCAAGCGCCATATCGCCACGCAAATACAGGGGCGCGCTACCTGGCGCGAGCGCCGTCGTCCACCCGACGATGCATCGTCGGGTCCTCTCGGTACACTTTTTGCGTGGAATGAATTCCTGGATGAATTTCATGTACGTGTAAGGATTCCGCCATGGTACGGATGTACCATTCAAGTCAATCCAGCATGGAACGACCACACCGTACGTGCATTCGGGGTGTCGTACATTGGACATTCCGGCCTGTGAATTTATGTTCCGCTGTGCGTTGCTGCCGCCGCCGCCGCTGCTGCTGCTCGACCACGTTTTCGTGCTCGAGATTCACTTTGCAACATGACAAACAGCGCGCACCCGGGCTGCCAGTACGTGTACAAGATGTGCCATCACGCGCGCGCCGTCAAGAAAGACGGGAGTCTGCACCGCCTGTGCGCGTTCCACCGCGAAAAAGCCAACAGTTTGCAAAAGGTGTACGCGACAAAGCGCCGCCAGGAAGCTCGGGTCGCGCGGCGGTTGCAGTTCGAGGCCAAGAAGGCCAAGGACGTGCCTGTCGCGCCGCCTGTGCTTCCCGTGCCTGCCAAACGAGACGACTGGTGGACGACATTGCTCGATGGCGAGTGCCTCGAGTGGACATTGGACGAAGACTCGACAAACTTGGTGGTTTTATCCGACGACGACGTGGCGTTCTTGAGCGAGGCGTTTTGATGCAGCCGTCGTCCCCTTGCTCGAGAACCACAACGACGTGTGGCTGTAGTGTGTCGTAGCGTTGTATTTAGACATGCGTGTGCATTCCTTGTCATGGCCACCGACCGTGCACGTCTCAACAACCCGATCGAGTCGGTCGGACATGGCGGCGGATCGATATCCTGGTCATGCGCCCGCCACCTTGCGCCGCGCACGTTGGCACCGCGAGATACGCGGTAGACATGCGCTGGACTCGACATGGTGTGAAGAAGCATGGTCCGAACGAGAGATGTCAAAGGCACTCGAGGTGGGAATTCCGAGTTTAAAAAAGGTCGAGAATAAATAGAAAAGGTCGCACGGGTGTCGATCGTCCGACGGCCCGATGACGCTCACAGCACAGCTTGGAGGTACGCGTATTCTTCGTCCGAGAGCGAGTCGACGTCGGTGACCGCGGCGTCGAGAGGTTCGAGATCCATCAAGAACGCCAATTCCAAGTGCTGAGAGAGCGGGACGGTGGCCGACGACGCAAGCGTCACGGTGGACGGATGTGATGGCATGGACAAGTCGCGAGGGACTTGGGCCACGGGCGGGTGGACGGCGGCGGACACGGCGATTTTCGTCTTCATCGCGTGGTGGCGTTTCGCGGCGCGGAGCTCACACCGCCGCTTGGTCGCGTACACCTTTTGCAGGGCGTTCGCCTTGGCACGATGGTACTCGCAGAGGCGGTGGAGCGACCCGTCCCGTTTGAACGTGCGCAGGTTGCTGCACGTTTTGTACACGTATTTGCACGTGCGGTCGGTGGCGGCGGGCTGGAACGACGGCGTGGGGTGGGGCATATCAAACGCAAGGTCGTGGACGAGATGGGTGGTGGTCGAGGGGAGCGTCGGTAGGGGGGTCGATCGAGTCAAGGCCGCAAGTTGCAAAGTGGAGGCGATGCGCTGGGTGACGACGAAAGTGGTGGGTCGTGGATGTGACAGGCGAGCGACGAGGTCGAGGCATACTGTACCGTGGCAGCGGATGGGCGAGCAATTCCTTTGGCCGAGATAACGCGTTCGGCTTGGATGAACCACGGAAGCACGTCACGAGAGCGACGGGCGGGCCAAGGCTATTCAAACGACCATGTCGTTTGAATAGCACCAAACTGGACAGCTCAGGCGTCGTGGGACAGACACATGGTCGTGGGATGTGTCGTTGTGGATTCGTCGGAGGGACCAAGGATGTGGCACGGGAAACCCCCCGCGCCGGTGTCCACCACGAACGCCGTCGAAACGTGTGCGAGGATCGACACCGCTCGTGCGTTTTTGAGATGAGCGCGCGCAGTACGTGTCGATGGTTGCCTCACGTCGTCGCCGCCACGCCATCGATCGAAGTCGCCCGCAAGCACCTTGGCTAACGGATTCGCTCCGCGTCGATGTGGCTACTGTGGCATTTTCCTCGCAGTCAGATGGCGCGCAAGGTGCCGTCGGCTGGCGGCAGGCGAAGGGGGACGGCATCGACGGCGCGAAGTGCTGGGTTGGTCCTCCATGGCCTTTCCAAGTAGTAGCCACCTCCAGCCCCCCCCTCGCTTCTTGTGTGTGGATCACATCAACAAACCAAGAGCGTCCGCCCCGTTGTCCGAGCCGTTCGTGGCATGCCCGCGGCCCCCTCTTCGAGCGAAACGAGGGGGCGATATATATCGTACTGTACATCGGGGGCGAAGTGTACAGTCGCCGCCACGCGCGCCAAGCAGACCCGCCGCCGGGGTTCGCCATCCAACCAAACTTTCGGTGGACCGCCGGCCACCACCCACGTGTGGCGGGTCATCAAGAGTCAGCTGCGCGCTGGTCCGTTTTTTTACCTCGACACGGAATCTCGATCGCGAGCCGTCGTCGACAGTTTGCGGCCGTCGCAATGACGTGAACGAGCGTCCTTGGACCAAACGAAATATGCAGGGAGTGGGGTGGGGAGGCGGCTTCTCGTCTCGGTAGCAACCCACGTGGTGTAGCAGGTCGACAAGTCACCCACCACTCGCCAAGAGTCACACGTTGTCCTCCGCACACGACGACGACCATGGCGTGTTTCGTGATAGGATCCAAAATATCGGGATCGAGAGTCTTTCGTTTGTGTATACCCCTTGCCCATGCGGCGTCATCCCTTTCTCCATGGGGTGGATGGATGCCGACCTCGGCACGGGCGAGACGGGCAATCATGCGCACTCGCCCGCGTCGTCGAATATTCCAACATGGGCGGCATAGTGAGGCAAACGTCGTCTCAAGTGGTAAGAGCTGCCACCCGTGGACATTTCAAACGTGTGATATTTTTCACCCCGTCATCACAAAGAGGTGCCGGTCATTGCGACGACGCACGCAATCAACTCATGGGACGCCAGGGCTGCAGATAAAACGGGGCTCACGAGATTGGAACTGGTTGAACAAGGTCGTTGACCACGTGCGGTGGATAGAGCCATGGTCGGTGGTCGTCTTTTGAGTTGAATGCTCGTTGAAAAATGCGTTTTCGATGCACAACGATGGGCACCACGTCGGGACATTGCGTGCGGGGCGATTCGCCACGGCGGCGACATTGGGCGACAACCAAATCACGTCGTGGTGTTTGAAGTTAGTCTCGACGAGGGGCGTTTCTTTTTCGGGCCACAGACTCCAGACCCTTTGCCGTGCGACGACGAGTTGAATGAACTTTGGACTGCAATCCTTTCCAAACGGACTGGCCAAACCAGCTCGTCATGCGTGATGGGGCATGAAGTAAAGCCCCGACGACGCGCTGCTCGACAAGCCCTTGGTGCCAGCTACGTTTGTAGTGTCCTGGCCATGGCCACGGGCTATCCCGTCCGTGTGGTCATCCGCGCGACATGAACCCGGACGGGTTGTCGCCGGCGACGCACATCGCCTGGCAAGCGTCTTTCTGGCCTTCGAGCAGCCCCCCATACGTACCCATTGGCCGAGATAATCGCGACGTATCGTTGATCATGGAGAGGCCCCACTTGTCGTACTCGATGATATTCAACCATGTCGTAAGCACGTGCCTCTTCCCCAGCGAGAACGACGAGGGCGGATGCGTTGCTGGTGCGTTGCCACACGTTCGCGAATGGATGGAATTTGTTCGAGTTGTGTACGTGTCCGCATGGAGACGTGCCTCAAACAACAAAAAGAGCTCACACTCGCTCATCAAAATCATGAGATCACGTCTTCCATCAACACTCCATACCAACCATGCAACTCGAGAACAACTCACTTGCACACGAGCTAAGCACCGCCGTCTGAGGATTCTCTTTCTTGGCCTCGGCCCACGATCGTTTTGAAGGAAACATCTCGCACGGGGTACCCCGTTTCTTACGGATGTCCCGCGAATCGATCGCGCGGTGGCTGCAGCTTTTGGATTTTTACCATGCGGTCTTCCCTGATCGAACTACAAAATATAGATTATTCAAAGTCCATTATTCAAAGCAAGTGTACCTGAGGTCGTTGGGCGTGACGAAAATGAATTGCTTGGTCTTTTCCGTTTTCGCCGTGTCGATCAGGAGCTGCAGCGTCTGCGTTCGATTGATGCTGTCCATGAACACATCGAACTCATCCATGACGCGGAACGGGCACTCGATGCACTCGCCGAGCGCCATTAAGAGGGCCACTTGCGTATAACTTCGCTCGCCGCCGGACAGTTGCTTCATGTCATTCACCTACAACCACGAGAATCAACACATCTGCAGGTAGTATCAACATGTTGCATACAATCGACAGTTTGGTCCCGCCGTCGTTGGCCACGACAGCAATGTCCAGCCGCTGATCGTCGTGGTGAAATTTCAATTTCCCAGCAAAGTTGCGGTGTTTCATGTACTTGTTGAAGCCCATGGACGTTCGCGTCGCAATTTCTTTGCGTAGAGCCGCCCACTTGAGCTTGCGCTCGACAAGCATCGCACTCACTTGGTGAACATTATCGGAAAACGCTTGGAACTCGAGCGCTTTTTGGTTGAGCTTGCCTCGCTTTTCCTGGACGTCGATCTCGAGTTCGGCCAAGTCCATGTTGTCGAACTGCGCTTTCTCGACGCTTAAACGGTGCGTCAGCTCCTTGATTTGAGTGTTGTAATACGACGGATGCTCAAACTTGATCTTGAGTCGAGGACATATTGTCGTTGCTTTCGCGATGCTGTCTTCAACTTGAGCTTCCATCGCCTGGACGTCGCGAGTCTTGTCGTTGATGTCAGCTTCGTGCTTCTCAGCATGCTGCGTTGCTTTCAACTTTTTCGCGATGGACTGCATCAAGCGTTGGTACAGCGCCATCGCGCGCTCCTTGGTATCGTTCAGCGTAGTACGAATGCAGTGTTCTTGCGTTTGCAGCTCGGATAGCTCGTTGGTAATCGCTGCGATGTTTGGGTCACCGTGTTCCAACTACAAGTTACGAATAAAGAGGAACATGTAGCTGACGTCTGGGGAAAATGAAGGCCGTTCTGTTTCAAACAGCCACGTGAGTACCTCTTCGTTTAATGTTTGCAAACGAGTGTGCATCGTGGTCATTTCGTACTCGATTTCGATTTTTTCGTCATCTAGCACAGTTGTGTCCCCGATCGACGTCTATCGTTGGCATGAGAACATACAGGATATATTCTGTCGAAAAATACCACTCATACGTCGCAATGGCCTTGCCATCAAAATGGAAAATCCACACAAGATGAATCCAAAATGCACGATTTCGATTGAGAAACAAGCACGTGGTGGTAGCCCACGGATCGATCAATTTTCAAACACCACCCATGTCAACTTCATTTTGTACTCACGTCGAATTCATTCAGCACCGATCCAAGTTTCCTCAGTGGTAAGAAAACTTACGTCCATAGATTGGTCTTGTTGTCGCTTGGCTCGATTCAGTTCGGTTTCGAGTGTATGGATAGTTCGGCTAGTGTCTTGCAAGTGGCGTTCGTGGGCTTCTTGCTCGCGGTGCATGGCATTGCCTCGTTCGATTCTTTGTTCTACTCACACCACGAAGAGAATTCAATTTACAACCAGGTATACAATCGCATCTTCCACCTTCATCACGCTTGAGCACTTGGTACTGTCGATTAAGCACGTTCAACCGCTCCGACAACTCGTGCTCTTCGGCCGAATGGTCCTGTGACAGAATCCGCGCGTGCTTGTATGTCTTGTTGGCAATAAAACCCAAGTTGCCCTTGCGCGCAAAAAACTTGTCGCCATTCGGAATGTAAACTTCCACGATATTCGGGTGGAATTGCACCGACCGCCCACTCGTTGACGCGATTGCCTTTTCTTCTCCTTCTTTCCTCGAGTCAAAAATCAACTGAAACCCAATCGTCAGTTCTTGATGGCGTTTGAATTCCATACAGCGTTACCTTGGATTCGATTTTGGCCACATCGACCAATACGTTGAAAACGTTTGGATCTTCCACGGACAAGATCGATGCCACTGCGTGGTCTCGTAGCGAGCCACTGGGTACATGAAGGCCAGAATATCTAGCGCGCCATGGGTACGATGTTTTGAAAAGAGCAAAAACAAAATACATATTTCAAATAATCGAGGCTTTTGAACCCCATCAAGTACCGTTGTGACGATCGCTTGGCAATCAGGATGCTCACTTGGCGGCAGTTGGCCTTTGCTTTCAACCGGTCAAGAAGGGCTTTGTCCGGCCCAGACGCCACCAAGTAACTGTTGAGCACGTTTTTCAAAATGAGCTCCACGGCCAAGGTCTACAAACCCACCGTGGTTCAATCCCAGTTTTTTTCAAAGGACGAAGAGTGTACCCAATGGTTTTTGTGTTCGGGAATGGAGATGAATAATCCGAGAGGTCCGATGGGAGGCTGCGAGAACCGATGGAGGTTGTCTTGAATCAACTCGTTCAAATACGGCACGCCATTTCCAAACGCGAGTAGCCTACATCCATTTTGGTTCCAGAGATCGCCTATTTAGCAGACAAGAATTCTACCGATTTTTGGCCTGGTCACGAATAGTCGCCAAACGATTGCTCACTCGCTCACGTTCATTTTGTAAATCACGGCGTTGAGCTTTAATGTTGTCGAGTTCGTCGTTCAACTGGTTGAGCTCCGCTGTAAAATTCACCTCGCCTCGTCGCTACGAATTCGTTGTTGATAACGCCATTGTTTCGTTTCGGACGATTGTCGACATGCACCTCCAGTTGGCGCTTTGTTTCAAGGGCGTCGTCCAGCTTGTTTTGGATCGCTTGAAGTTCCTGCGCAGCCCGAGCTTGCTTGCTTTCCAAAGACTTCACGTATTCTTGGAAGCGCTGACGTTTATTGGCCTTTTCTCTTTCGATACCTTCGAGACGCTTCTTGCTCTTTTGGAGATTCATCTCCAACTGTTTTCGTTCTGCAACGTGTTGTCACATACATCTAACTTTTGTACAGGCACACACAAACTCCATACCAGCATTCTTCAATTGGAGCGGATATTGCAGTTGTTTTTGTCGTTGTTTCAGCATTTCTTGCTGTTGTGTCAGTTGAGCTATGTTCTGTTCCTCTGTCTCGAGGATCTTTTTCAGTTCTGCATGCTCCGCTGTGAGCTGCTCCACCTGGGCGTCATATTTTATGACATTCTTGCGATGCCCCTCGGCCCGCGCGATCGATTCTTCCAGCTCGGCGCGCATGGTGGCGCACTCGGTCTCTTTCAGATTCACAAACGACCATGCCAAACTGTGCTTGACGGCTTCAAGTTTCTCTTCCAAGTGAGCAAACTACATTGGTCTTGTCAGGCAAGATAGATTGCTGGACCGACTCGTACGCTTTTTGCCTTCTCGTACATCTTCTCGGCTTGGGCACAGGCGTTTTCTAGAAGCTGGACTTTGCGCTGCTCGTGCTCGAGGGTGGATTCTTTTCGAACTTTGGTCTCGTCCTCGACCTTGGCAAAGACAGCGCGCATCTTGTACAGATCGGTCGATTGCAGGAAAAACTAAAAAAATCCAGTTCACTTTCGACTCAACGGTGGCGTAAACCACGGCAGAAAATGCACTGGAGACGATGCCATGCCACAATACTTCGAGACTTTGTAGAGTTCTTCACCTTGTATTTGTCGACGGGATCGCCCTTGAGGAACAGCTTGGCGTTCTCTTGGTCGAGTACAGCGCATGGGTTTTCAATTTGAATGTTCAGATGGTCAAGCATCGCTTCCAAGTCGGCTTTGGACTTAGACACGAGATGGCCTCCCGAATCCTTCAAGCGGTATTCAGCGGTACCTTCTGAACGAATGATTCGCTCGACTTGAATGCGTGGGCCAAACTGTTCCGGACGGAAAGCGTCGCTGCCGGTACCTATCGAATCACGTCCGTGACGGTCGATGAGTGTGCAGGAAGGAATGGTACCGTCATTGAACAGAGTAATACGAACGAGTGCATGTCGTGGTTGTTCGCCATCCGAGTTTCGAATCAAGTTCTTCAGGCTCTTCCCACGATGAGTGGTGCGTGCGCTCGCGCCAAGACAGATCTGCAGCGCGGCAATGATCGCGCTTTTCCCGCTTCCATTCTCGCCTGTGATGAAGTTGATATTGCGCCCCAACTTCACGACCATCTTCCGGTGGCACATGAAGTTTTCGCAGTATATCTCTTCGATGATTCCCACTTCGTGCTTGACCTGTTCGGATGGCTGGGACTGCGATTGCGACGACTGCGATGTACCCACGTAAGAAACTTCGTCTTCTTCGTCCGAAGCATCGGACCGCGGCACGTACGACGAGCTCGGAGAGTCACGTGCATGAAGCTTGCGGGCCTTCATGTGTGTTTGCCGCCCTTTTGAAGTGCTAGAGTTGGGCATGCATGTACGGATAATTTGCCCCCTGCTATCCAGATACCTCTCTCGAGTTATTTTGACCCAGTATACACTATTTTAATCGGAATAGGAAAAATATCCCAAATTGAAGGAAAGTAGAAATATCCGTGGATAGAAACCAGTCATTCAGTCATGCCGCTGGAATATGAATTGATCCGATTGGTCCGTGTTTCGAAAACGGTATTTGATTGGCTAGTTCGGCCCTTCGAACTCGTTATTGGCCACCCACATCCTCGATCGAAGGACACCCCACCAGAATGGAACGCCATGTCATCGCAGAACTCCATCAATTTCCCAAGTTAAGCCGAAGGGACGCAACCCACAACGCATGGTGCAAGGACACGACCAACGCGATGGCGCCACTCTGCTAGATTCAACCCGTGCTTTCCATCAGCCAATCAGATCAATTTATCAGGTATACTAGTATTGAATCACCCAATAACGTCAAAATCTGAATTTTCGCTCGAAAGAACACAACATTTTGACAATATTTATTCCAATCGACAATATATATATATATATTGGTTGGATATGAAAATATTGCCAACTGGGAGGAGAGCAGAAAAATTAACTAGACGTTATTTCGAGCGAACCCAAGTCAAGTTTTCCGCTGAAGTCTTCGTCCATCGTGGCCATGGAGACGGCATCCCATGCAAGGTTTGCACAAATTGCGGCGTCGGTAGCGTCGGCGCCAAGATTTAGAGCAGTCCTAGGAGTTGTGTCATCGCATCACAGCCATAAATGGGCTCGCCAGACAAAGGCCGTGTCGATGCATCTCGCTTAACTTGTCACACGTTCACGACAGGGGAGGGAGCTTGTGGAACATGCGACGTCGTATCACGCGTCGCATGTCAGGCATCGGACCAGCTCCATGGATGGGGCGCACAAGTTCATTGCAACTCCCCGTGCTTGCGATTGTACGTGATTCATCCGCGGTCGATCCATGAATTCGTCAACCACGGCATCGATTGCTCGCGTCGAGTTCACAGAAATGGAACGATCGCGATGTCTGCGCCGTGGGTACGTGCGAGAACGGCACCTCCAGACCACGCGTCCACGAAAGCCGACGTGTCCTTTGTCGCAAGCATGGACATTCGCTCAAACACATTCGAGAACAACCGTGTTGTCGCGCAAGACCGCATGCACATGCACGCCTGACACGGCCAACGTTGGCCCTGTGCTGTTTCCAGTCGACTTGGACTCGAGCTGGCGACACACATCGGTGGTCGCCGCGATCGATGGGATGCTATGCAGCTCGACGACGGGGCTGCGATCCGGTGGTAGTGCCGCGGCATTCGTTTTGGCCTGGCAATCACCATTGGACCTAGCGACGCCACAACTATGTACTTTAATTCGACAGAGTGTATAGTAGATAGAAAATCCAGCATGTCGGGGCAGGTCCATGGCGCCTGCTGGTTGGTGTGGTGCTACTTTCAAGATCGTGCAAATAATCTTCTGCGTGCCGTGGGTTCAGAGGATTCGTCTTCGCAGAGAAGCAGGTCGGACATGGTGGCTGTCGCCGAGCCACATGCTTCGTGCGTCATTTCCATTCTGGACGGATGGGCTCGAATTGCATGTCGTCCGAGCCACGAGTCAGCGCGGGAAAGACCGCGCGTCGGCACGTCGACACCAAGTGCCGGTACGCGTACAAAAATTGCCACAACCCACGCACGCTCAAGGACAATGGCGACTTGCATTCGCTGTGCGCCCTCCATCGCGATCGCGCGAATTTGGTCCAAAAAGCGTACGCGCGAAAACGGCGGAGTCGAAAGCGCCAAGAACGACTGGCCAAATCAGCGCTGGCCGCAACGGCGCCTCCACCTGCCAAACTACACACAGCACACAACCACCCGACGGGGACGACACAGCGGCACGTCGCCATGATCGAGTCCCCCACACCAATCGACCCCATACCCTACCTGAACGACGACGATCCATCGGCCGACATGGAACGGCAAAGCCCCAAGCCAACGACCGAGTTCACCCTCGACGACGTCCAGATGCTGCGAGATCTCATGTATGTCGTCGACCTATTCCTGCTTGCGCCCATGACGCGGACCATGCCTAGATTGTAGTGTGGGGACAGCATCCCGTCGTCGATGTGGTGTTGTACGGGGTTGACGCGCTATAAATTCGTCGACATCGTGGCGCTTGCATCGAAATCCGCTAAGTGGGACTTAACATGCTGCTCCTTCGTTCGTGGGAGATTCGAGAAACCAGTTCTACATGACGGGGTCGCGATCCAAGCCATCGCACGCAACGTCATGTGCTGTCGGAGCTCGCATTCGACACAATCATGCGTGCGAAGTTTCTGGCGACCACTCGGTCGATCCACATCGTCGCTGACACCTGACAAAATCTCAGATTTCCACATGCGATACGCGCCAGCCGCCAAGTCGGTGGTGGCTGGCGACCACCGTTCGCACTGTACTTTGCTGGGGACACGAGCCATCGGTTCAGTGTGGCGACCGCTCGGTTTTCAAATGCATGGTCGGCACCCAACTCGCGGACGGGTCGTGCTATTCCCCCCCTGGGGACGCTGCACCGAGGTAGGTACGTGTTGGATGCAAGGCAAGCCCATCCGTGCGTATGGGCAGGGTGATGCGCCTTCGAAACAAATGACGACGAAGTCGACAACCCACGATGGAGATTGTTTCGTTGCGCCGCTGCGACACCCACACTGTTCGAGGAACGTCCAGTGTACTTATCTGTTGCAAGAGCCCAAATGCTGCATCGGAAAAACAACCGAGTGGAGGGGGATGTATCGGTGGGTTCGGCTCAAGCGTCACGTTTGCTTTGCCCGTGATAAGTGTATCGAAGGACTAGCATCGACGTGGCGATTCGTGCGGTCGTGAGCTCGTTGGTGTGTAGTCGCCAGGAAAATGCAGCTCCGTGGCAAAAATGGGTCGACCGTCATGCCTCGGAGTCAACAACATGTCGAGGTGGCTGTGCATGTTCTCGAGAGAGACGCCTTTGGCGAGTCGCATCGTTGTGACCATATTCGAGACGACGACGGGCCGATCCATCCGTCATGACAGCCACTGCGTACGAAGACGCCATTCCGGATCGAGACATGCCCGACAATGTGTGTCACATCCGCCAAGAGTCCAGTATGAACCTGCGGTAGTGCTTGGGGTACGTCTGGACCTTCGCCATCTCGACATCGCGAACAATTGGAACGCCAAAACATGTTGGAGCTGCATCGTGGCGCTGGGTTGTGAAGGTCAGTCGCCCGCTACATCGACTCCAAGCTTGACAGCGCTTGGGTTGCTCCGCGCGTCGTCGATGTGTGCGCTCGACCGCCGCCGCCGCGACATGTTTTCCTGGCAGACCTGCCATGGTGTGACAAGGACGGCGGATGACCTGACTAAATCGTGCACAACATGTTGACTACAAACCGGGGGCCCGCGGTATGACGCCGCCATCAGGTGCATTCTCGAGTGGCATACGAACCATCGTGCCTTTCCCGCCGTGCACCGAGCCACGATCTACTCCCAGTGCCGACTGCACCAGACGACAGCGTGCGCTCGACCAGCAAAATGGGGCCGTTTCACGACGAAACGGTCGCAGTTTCGGATGCGGCGAGGTCGGTTCCCGAGTCGTTTGTTGGTCGTAGAACTCACGTCCGAATTCCGCCGTCGGCCCGATATCCATCCAAACGAGGCGCGCGTACCGTCTTGGCCAGGGCGGTGTGCATTCGTTAAGAAACAGCGCCGACGCCACAGTGTCGCTGACGTGGAATCTCGCGCGTTCAGCAGGCGTCCGTACAGATATTGCCGACATGATCGCGCCACGTTGGAGTGACGTGCCGACGATGGCCGTCGACCCTGTTGCATGCACTCGACCGAACCGACGACAGGCAAAGGGAAGTCTGGTGTATCTAGCATGCACGCTGGCATGCATGGTCATGTATTGCGTCGTCCTCGCGCCGTCGTGCACCAACGACCTGTACTGGCCCACGTACAACGGCACGGGGTTTGCCGTTTATCTTGTCGACGTCATCAACGACGAGCTGCTCACGCACCAAACTGCCAATGTATGGGCGGTCCACCGTCCAATGTCGAGAAACTACGCTAGCGACGATGTCCAGGCCACTTTTGAGGCCGGGTATGCGAGAAAAGTGTTTTACACAGAACTCAACACGATCCGTCATGCTGTTCGAGACCTCCGTGCAGCGACGACTTCCGCTGTGGCCACATTGTACGTGCAGTACTGTTGGGTCGACTTGGATCGGCGGTGGGAGCTCGCACATACTCGCGCTCGCGCGAAGCGGTGCTTAGCCAACTACGTGGACAACGCTGCCAACTACTTGGAAACGACGCTTCGAAACACCAACTGGACCGACTACTTTGACGCAAACCACGGCGCGTGGACGATCACGATAGCGCTGGCACTGCAAAAGACTCGAGAAGGAGCGCAGTGGTTGAACGAACGGCCGCTGCACTCGTTGGCACTATCCGTGGAGGACGAAGTCGCGTATCTCACGGCGCGCAACTTGACGCGGTTTGACATGACGTACCACAACAACTTCAAGTTGTCCATGTCGGAATCGATCGAGGTCGTGAACGCATTGAAGCAGCGCCAAGTGGTCCTCGTAAAATCGTCGCCGTTCGATGTCGGCCCATGGACCACCGGCAACATGTTTTGGAACTTTCGCAACGATGTGGGCATTCTGGCGTATTTGAACCAAAGTCTCGTCCGGGGAGATGCCAACCATTTTGAAGTCGATGGCACCGAGTTCTCATCGTTTTACCCCCTTCAAGACGAGCACAACGAGTACGTGCGTCAAGTGGGGCTCTTTTACGACAACATCAGTCCGTTTGGGTCGGTCGACGTCCTGTATGAGCCGGTACCTCGACCCATCTTGGACATCTTTGCCACGTTCTCGTTGCTGTTGAATGACGTTGTGTGGCCGTCCGCGATCTTGACGCGTCGGGTGGTCGCGTGGCCCAGCGTTGTGCTCGCTCCAGCTCCGCCCAGCTTTCTCGTGGGCCACGAAATGGAATACTATGGCGGGAATCTTCTGTGCTTGTTCAATGGCCCCACCTCGTTCCCTCAGGCACAGTATAGCTTCGACGACACGTGCGGGTCCATGAATCCATTCCAGATCGTCGCCGACCCCACACACGTTTTGTTTGCACTACTGATGGCTGGTCCCACGGATGTCCGCGCCATCTGCGCGTCGCACGCAACCGACCCGGCTGCATGCGTGCATACTCTGGTTGAGATCGCGGACTTTTGGCAGATGCTTGCACAGTCGACGCCATGGCGTGCACCAGCACTGCCTGATTTGCCGCCCGTGGCATTTTTCCAGTACGCCACGAACGCCTCGGGCCACTGGTTCTTACTTCGGCAACCACTGCTGGCCCCCGACGACTCGACTTGGTCGTTTGTTGGATGGCTGGCCATTGTCGAGTGGGTTCGAGGCAAGCGAGAAGTTGTGCGGTTGGAAGGGGATGTCTCGACCGTGTTTATGATCTCCGACGTCAACCCGACGCTGCTGCTTCCAGGGAGCAGCCAGACAAAGAGTGACTACGAAGGGCCTCAAACGGTGTACTACATGGTGATGTATACAACGATCGTGAGCATCGCCCTCGGGTGTTTAATGGTCTTGTACGCTGCGTGGAGCGGGCATCGCTTTCGTGGGCGGAATGTCCTGGCTTTCCATCGCGTGGCGACATTTGTCTGGATTGGACGATGTCTGCTCGTATTGCGAGGCCTGACAGGTTTGGTCGTGCTGAGTTCGACGACAGCGACCATCGCGCAAGACATTGGCGGTGCCAAGCTCGTGGCTACGACGCGTCCACTTGGGGAAACGCTCCTGGTCGCGAGTGAATCGACGTGGGTTTGCTTCGTCGTCAGTGATGTTTTGCTAGTGTTTACGGGAAGTCTCGCGGAGCATTGTACGGCGATCGCTACGGTCTTGGCGTCGGCAATCACATTCGGAATCGAGCTGGTGCATCCCGTGCAAATTGACATGGTGCTCGATCGACGGTGCACTGGAATTCGCATCGACCAAGGGCTCGATTGCACATCGGGTGTACTTCGAACCGGATGGTGGAGTCGACTTGCTCAGCTGCTCGTGGTTCAAACTGTCGCCCCACTCGTTGGCATCGTGGTCGCGTTCGCGTTGAAAGGAACGAGGCCGCGTCAACCACAGGCGCCGCTGTCATTGTATGGCGCAGCAGAGTCGTTCCTGCGGCCACAAGCGCACGAGTATGCGTGGGAGCTGGACAGCGTAACCTGCATCATGACTGGGCTCGTTCCGATTTCATATCGAAGCCACCACTGGATATTTGACGTCAAGCTGTGGGTCCTCCTTCCAGCCACATCATCCTATCACGGAAACGCCACATCGTTTCCATGTCCAACGTTTGCGGGACGCACCCTGCAAGAGATCGACCCATCGCTGCTCTCGACAGGCAAAATTCTACGCTACGTCACAGTCGTGGCTGGGGTTGGCTACGTCGTCGTTACGGGTGTGGGAAGTGTGTCATACATAGCCGTGTCGAGCGTAAATTTTGCCAACGACTTTTACTGGGCCACATTCAACATGACAGGCCATCACGTGGTCCTTGCAGATTGGTTCAACCAGCAATTCATGCTGCGCCCGACCGAGATGGCGACGCGGCTCGACGAACCGCAGTGGACGTCAGTGTGGCGAAACTACTCCAACCCGAAAATTACGACCTCGATACCCGCTGGGGTTGGCCTAGCCGTTCAACTCAACCAGTTGATCGAGGTAGAGACCGCCATTGCGGGCTTGCGGCGGTCCGACCCGTGCACCGTCGTGCCTTGGATCTCGACGCAGTACTGTTGGGTGGACTGGAAGCGACAGTGGCCGATGGCAAATTCCAACGCACGTCAAGCACGATGCGTTGCTGACGTGTCGAATGGAGCGGTGTATTTGGAGACGGTGCTGCGAAATGTCGACTGGACTGCGTGGACGCAATGCTGGGGAACGGCATTTGACGTTGCCATCGCGGACGAACTAAAGTCCAGTGCGGAAGGCCAACGATGGCTCGATCAAATCCAGCGCAATGCGTTGTTGTTAGCCATGCCTGACGAAACGAGTGCTTGGAAGCGTGCGGGCCTCGACAAGTACTCGGTGCAGTGGCAATCGTTCAAGAAGCATGGGCTCGTCAACACATATTTGGTCGAGAATGCATTTGGGGTGCAGTACCCCCTGACATTAAGTCGCGGGAACGGGTCGTTGAACCTGGCATGGCAAACCTCGTTCAAGATGTACTGGGGGCTCGCCAACGATTTATGGGCCGTCACCGCCAACACAAGCGTTGTCGGCGGGAAGAGCTTGATTGCCACGAGTGCCAACTTTGCCTTTGCCAACCACACCATGTTGAGTGTCCTGCTTCAAAACGGCACGCTGCAGGCGCCCCTCTACGAAGCGTTTGAGGCAGTCGGTCGGGACATTGGTCCGTTGGGCTCGATCGACATGAGACTCGTTGCCTGTCCCGACGCCGTGCGCCACACGATTGCGACTGGGGCGGACGTGCTTCGTCGAGCGCTGGCTGCCCATCCTGTTGTTGGCCCGGAAATGTTTTTCAACACAACGATGGACCTTGTCGAGATCGTGCCGTCCAAGTTCAAGCTCCTGGCGCATCCATATACGTATGGCGGCAGCATGACGTGTCAAGAGTCGACTCCGTACCCCTTGGTGGCGCTCACGCAACTCACGATGCGCGACTTCAACTGCGGTCCTGTTCTTGGCGCATCCTTTTATCCCACGTTGGACAACTTGATCATTTCTGTCATGGCAGCGGGTCTTAGCGTGGCAAGTGAATCCACAATCGACGGTGTGTGCTGGCACGATGCGTCGCCGCACCGGTGCCAAACCCAGTACTTGGCCGAAGCACGGCGCTTTATACAAACTTTCATTGCGACAGACGACACGGACGCGATCGAAGCGATGGCGCGGTCGGCGGCAGCCCAAGTGCGGCAGCTCAACGTGTCCTTGATGCAATACATTCGCGAGGCCGAGTCGGCCCCGCTTGAAATTGGCACGAGTATGTTGATGGATCCAAACGACCCGACGTTTGACATGTGGAGCTGGCTGTACGTGATCGAGTGGGCGATGGGGAGTCGCGATGTTGTCGCGTTCGAAGGCGACCGCGGCGCGGTCACGGTCGTCACAGACTGGGCTACCACAAGCAGTCAAACCGTGCAAGCGATGGAAATGCCGACAACGTTTGCTGCGTATGCCCGGTCGGGGGTCCAATATGTCACGGGGGTCATGCTCGGCCTTGCCGCCCTCGTCTGCATCTCGTTCGTCGCGAGCCGAGGGCGTGTCGAAGGAATCAACATGTACGAACTGAACCGCGTGGGCGGCATGGTGTGGGTCGGTCGACCGCTTCTGTTCCTCCGTGGCGTCACTGCGGTCTGTCTCTTAAGCACGTCAACGTTGGAGCTCGAGTCGAGAGGGTATGGCATTGTGGGCTTTTCCGTGCCGACCCTCCCATGGTACGAGACAATCTTGGGCGCGGGTGAAGTCACGTGGCTTGTGTACATCGTGAACGATCTCTTTATGGTTTGGACGGACGCGTACACGCAGTACTACGCTCCCGTCAGCAGCATGGTCGTGTGGATCGTGGTGGCGATTTTGACGTTGGTGTCGCCCGTCGTGCATCGAGTTCGCATGGATCCGGCCTGCCAAGTGGACCAGATGGACCTTCAATTGGTGTGCCAGACCGGCATTGTGGCCATCGGGGACATTCGGCGTCTCTACTCGCTCATCGCCATCATTTGGATCAGTAACGTGGCGAGCTACATTGGAATTCGGCGCTACTTTGGCTCCATGTTACGGACCAATGCGATCCACTCGTTGCTGCTGAGCTCAGCAGCCAACCATCTCTTTGACAAGCGCCACTGGCTGCACCAAGGCGTGTACTACATGGACGGTGCGTCCGCCTTGCTCAACGGTCTCTTGTCGGTCCGTTGGGGCAAAACGTGTTATGTCATGGACGTCAAGTTGTGGCGCTGTTTCTCGATTGCGATGCCCAACGACGTGCCATTCGAGCTGGCGTACAGTGTTCCCGTGAGAGACTGAGTTGGAGGTGCCCAGTTCAAGCGATCAAGGCTGGAATGCAGACATGGCTAAACGATTTGCGTGTAAATACTTGTTGGAGTGAAGGGGCGTTCTTGAGCAGGACGCGTCGAGCCAATTTGGATTCAGGTCGGGCAAACCCCCCACGAGAATTCGTTCAAAGAGGAACGTCGTCCGCTATGGCGTTCTATGCGCAAATAACTCTGCTCACGGTAGGACCTCTTCCATGCGCAGGAGGTGGGCTGAGCACGGTTTGGGTGTGTGCATTGCTCTTCGCCGTGTGAGATCTCTACAGATCCAACCAAATCGAACGAGGTTGGATTCGCGGCGGCAGGAATGTTGGGAGATAGCACTCAGGTGATGGTGCACATTTGCAGCTCGGTTCCCAACCGTTCCATTTCTTGTAGCAACTTCAGATGTTTTTTCTCAGCTCGAGACAGTTTATGGCGCAGACGTAGGGCCTTGAGCAACTCGATTTGGTGAGCTTTCTGCAGCGCGTGGTGCGCGAGTGCTGTCCCGCCTTCGGGTCGCTTTTCGATCAAGAAGCGCGCGACATTCCAATGGCGATGTTTGGTAGCATCGTCCAGGGCCTTCGTCGTGCAGCCCTCGGTGCGATTGTCGTGTAAAAAGCGAACCATTTCCAAGTAACCATTGCCGGCTGCCCAGTCCATGGCCTTGGTCGAGCATCCTTCTCGTCGGTTCTCGTGTAAAAATTGCACAATTTTCAAGTTTCCTCGACTGGCAGCTTGGTCCATCACAGCCGCCGTGAATCGGACCGCTGTGCACTGATGGAGCACTTGCACCATCTCCAACGATAACGACGACGACGCCCAGACGAGCCCGGTGTCGCATCCTTCTGTCCGATGTGTGGCGAAGAAGCGGACCAAGTCGACGTGATTGTGGTCGATGGCATGGTTTAGGGCCGCGCGAGAACACCCAGGATGGCCCAAGAAGTGCAAGAGCTGTACCATGTTCAACTGCTTTTGCCGTCCAGCTTCGTCGTCGTGACGTTGGTACGTTGCAATATCGATCAAGGGATCTCGAAACGACGTGATGCCAAACTGACGGTGGAGCAAGTGCACGACTGCCGCATTCCCAGAGTACACGGCTTCATAAGCCACGATGGGTCGCATATACGGCACGGCACGGAATACCTTGGGCAGACTCGCGGCGAAATCGTACGTGGCATACCAGGACGTCATGACGTGGACGAGGCGTTCGATGTTGCAGTAGTGGAACGTCTTGAGGAACGATGGCGAGATTCCAGCGTACCATATCTGACTTGTCAAGTCCAGCACCATGCAGAACGCGCCTTGCTGGAACGATGAGAGTACAGCCATGAGATCCACCGACGTCAGCACGGCGGTGGCAGCTCCCGTCATGGTGGCGTCGAGGATCGTGCAACTTGGTCGAATTCCATTGCATTCTTCGCGCCGTTGTTCATCGATTGCATACACCCATAGTCAGTTTCATATTTAATTTGACACTATTTGACTCCTTACCTGGGTGGACTCCAATAGGCGACAGCACTTCCGTCCGCCATGCCATGGCTGCGGTGAAGCTGCTGGGCAAGGGATAGCAATCTCTATCGTTGCTGAAGCCCATGTCCCCTTGCTGAGGGTATGTTGGTGGTGCACATCCATCGTTGAAGTTCATGGACGTCGAGTTCACGAGGGAAAAGTATGCGTATTTCATCACAATTTGTCGAAGGATTTCCAGTTTGGACAGTGGACATTACAGTAGTCTACTTGGGTTCCATCAAAGAAAAAATCAAAAATAAAAAAATTGCTCGGCCAAAAAGCCTTGTAATGCTGTGAGCGACGGAAAAGTATCCCCAGTGGGACGACAAATTCGTCGTGTTAATATTGTCGCGTCAGTTCGAAACTAGACTTCACAGCGTGAAAAATTCTGACGCAGCACGATTGACGCACAATTTGGCACATACATATGTCAAGTTACTTTTACCGGACGTTGTTTTCGTGTTTCAATTCAAATGAGTCGAGTTCAAAGGAGTCAGCAGCAGCGACCATGGAGAGTTCTGCTGGCTTGGACCAACAGACGCACGCAGATATCGGTCACTTGTTCAGCTTTCGCCACGTGCCAAGTGTGCGGAGCTTTAAAGGACAGTCGTCGGGGTTCCCTCTCGACATTGTATCCGTGCAAGCGTCGTCCGTTGAGGAGGTGGTGCGTGCTATCTGTGACGCATCCATGATCCATCTTAAGCGTGAGGTCCTGTTCGTTCCATCAGCAAGCACCGAGAACACATCAACTCCACATCCTCCCCGTAAACCAGTCTGGTCCCAACAGATCCGTTGGCCCTGTAGCTCATTATCCAAGCGTGATTGTAGATTTGTGCTTCGAGTACTGTGTTGCAAGGTATGCTTTGGAGAGACCAAGCATATAATATCCGTAGAGGCAGTGATACTTGGTGCTGTGCGATGCATGGTCGCGCACAACTGCTTGCAGGAGAATGTGAGCGCCTGACGCGGCCATGTTGAGGTTCAGAATTGATGGAAGTAGCAGTAGCTCTGATTGGCTGCGTCAAAGTTTGCCGACTTCTGTTCTGTTCGCTACAATTTTGCCAATTGTCTACTTTTGGAGTAAAACCACAATGTTAGACAGATTTCGCAACTTGCAGTTCTGTTCTATCCGCAACGGATTCTCTTTGTATTGATAAATTTGCAGCCAACCTGCAAAAACTTGTTGCATCGGCTGTAAAATCCTTCGAGTTTGTGGCGAGCTGACCATCCGCTGTATCCGAATAACACTACTGGTTGCACGATCAAACCATGACGACGTTCATGCGTCCGACTTCACAGAAGGCCAACAGGCTCGCAAGTGGTGGAGCGACGCTGACGACTTGAGTCTATTGACTCAAGTTAACATCGACCTGCCCTTCAAGCAAGCGAAGAACGCGATGAAAGCGTGGGATGCCGTTGCGATGAAGCTACGCCAAGCGCCCAAATGGTAGAAGTGGCTTGGACGGCAAGAAGGCTTCCAACCGCTTCTACCAGTTGATTCGAGTACACAAGAAGTTCAAGAGAGCTCAGAGTACCTCTCCGGCGTTGAACAAGACGAGACAGGCAAGATCATCCTTCTGGATGAGCTTGTCCAGCTCTTCGATGAAGCCTGCGACCAGCGCCAAGCAGAGCGAACATCCTCGGCTGCCAAGGCAGCAGAAAAGGAGGCGACGGCAGGATTTGTGCGGGACCAAGCAATGTTGCGTGGACGTCGTACGTCGTTTGAGGGTGATGACTCTACTGACAGTGATGTTTTGAGTCGCAAACGCATGGCCATTTTTGAGACTCAAGCGCGTGAAATCGCCCTTGAGCAGGAGCGCCTCGAGTTCAAGAAGTACAAGTTCGAAATGGAGCTCAAAGAACGTGAAATGGAGCTCAAAGAACGTGAAAAGGATAGACTTGAGCGAATTCAGCAACGTGAGGACGACAGAAAACGAAATGACGACATGATGCAACTTATTCGTCATTTGCTTAACCGCGAATTAAGTTCACTTATGTTACATTGGTGTCTGCAAATACTGCTCCAACATCGGTGGAGTGAGGTTGATATAGCTGCTAACTTGATTCCCACCATAATAGCAACAGTGGCAATTAGTGAACAACATTGCAATCATAATCACCTTGCCGACGTTTTGCAGCATAATTTTTTGCTGCATGTTGTAACCAACCATTGCCCAGTTCTTCTTCATGATCTCAAACGACCACTCAACGGCCTGACGGACTTCACTCATGTTCGAGTTGAATTCGGACATTCGTTCGTCCAAGTGAGTGCCTTTGTACCCGGAGCAAATCCTTTGAAGGACCCCATACGCCGGATCACCGTAGACCAGAAAGTCACGAAATGCGTCATGGCGTGAATAAAAAAGGCTTCAAGTTTGCT